TTTAATTGAAATCGTGAAAACACTTGGACTCAAATGCAATCTGAACTTTGCTCACGGAAAAACCCGCATGAAGCTTTTCCTCACAGACGTCCTCTGCCTCACTCCGACTTTCCACCACCATCTCGACTCCTCTGCTTTGTAGACCATGATCAGCTTTTCCTTTGCTGTTTGCATTTTTCATACAGTCTTTTTGAACGAACCATTTCTGACTGTAAAGATATTCAATTGTTTAAAATTGGTGTCATAACTCAGCTTCAAATATCTGCAAACTTATCTGACCTTTGATTCGCAACATAATATTTAGAGCCCAATCATAAGACGGCCCCACCTTTTCATATTGTTTTTAACAAAAAAAAAACTTCACCTTATATTCTGCTGCACTTTATGGAATGGAAATCTTAATTTCACTGCTGAAGCTCATGTAGGGCCCTATAAAATCCGTTTTATTTTTTCTCAATTTCCGTTTTATTTTTTCCCAAATTCCGTTTTTTTCTGTTTTTATTTTTGCGAATTCAGTTTTTTTTTTACCCTTTACTGTTATTTCAGTCGTAAAAAGAATGCGCTTTTAATGTTAATGATTAAAATGTACACAAATAAAACAGGAATGACCTTAAATTTATTGAGGTAATAAAACACATTTACTCAGTACTTTTACTGCAGGATGCAACATAACACTGCACTCAAAGTACTAACAAAATATTAATGGTTATGAAGCAATGGTTATAAATAAAATCCTCCATTAGCTTTCAAGTAAAAAAATAAAATAGGACCTCTCTACTTCTCCTTGTTCTTCACATGGATTTTGGTCAGTGCGTGTATTTTTGCGCTTCCAATCAATGGAATGTTGACAAAACAATAGTTCACCTGACTCGTAAAAGTGACGAGGGAACTGCTTGGCTCTGTACTCGGGGCTTAGCGTCGTGTTTCTCAACTTCTTCGCCGAAAGCGGAGCTGCGGAGAGCCGCTTCGCCATTTTTTTAATGTTTTGATGAGGGAGGGTGAGCGGAAATGACGGAGCGGGAGGGGTTGTGTCCCCCAGATTTGCGTCCCCCGGTGTACATTTCCCCCCGACATACGTTCCTCTCCCACACAAAAACAGAATTTCATTTCAAATGTAGAAATTCCGCGTTTACACTAGATTCCGCGTTATTTGCCAATTCTGCAATTCCGTCCGCGATTCCGTGATCGCGGAAATTATAGGGCCCTACTCATGTCACACCTTGACGATTTAGACCAGCTGACGTACGAAAATTCTGGCAAAAACTCTGGCATACATTGGATAAGTTATGGGTACGTTTTCTACCTGGAACTGCCATCCGTGGGCCATCAGTTCCAGGTCAGTTATCTGATGGTCGACATCCGTTCAGTGTCGGTTCCTCATCAGTCGTGGCGTCTAGTTTATCCTAAACCTCTGATTAACTTCTGCGTAACTTATCCAGAACTTCTCTCCAACGCATATCAACGTGTTCCAGACGAGCGCTGAACGTGTTTCTAACTTCCAGCTACTGTATAATGGCGTATTGGCAGCGTTTTGGTATAAAGGGG